GCTAAAAGTGTTCAACTGAGTGATCCAGTTTCCATTGTGGTCCAAAAACTGATTTATATTGGCATAACTGAGGAAGGAGTAAACTGCAGAAAAGGCAGTTTGGCAGCCTTCTCTGCCAAAGCAGGGGAAAACATCTTAAACAGACTTGGTCACAGGAGAAAATGTTTGTGGAAGTTAATCCCTCTACTGTGAAGTCATTATCATGGTTAGAATGTGGCTTTCTTTTCCTAAGTGGGTAGTTAGTTACTTTCTGTAATGAAAATGGGTTTGTATCTTAATAAAATTCATGTTCTGTCTGCTTGTTCCACAGTTGAAATAGAATAGCTTTTAAGATTCATTTCATTTAGCCTAAATATTATAAAGTGGCTGCAGTGTATAACTGCTCCATTTTATGTATTATGTAAAAAAGATTGTTTTCCATGTAAATAAACTTTAAAGTTATCCTCCTTCATACTAAGTATCCCAGTAAAACTGGTCTATTTGTCTTGGAGTAAAGTATAATATATTACTGGTTAAAGGTGATTTAATCAAGCCTGCTTCACCATTTGTGAAGTGTGCAGAGAAAATAATGTCAATTCGTCATTAAATTGACTGTTAAAATTGATTTTTCTTTTTTCTAATCTGAGTATATTTCTCCTCTGCTTGCATTGTATTATGGTTTATCCAGTTTTACACTATAAGTGGTCTTTAGCCAGTGTGTTGGAAAAAAAAGTCCTGTAAAGGCATCACTGCAGTTTCATAAAAGCAAAACTGTTTGCTTATTTTAAGGACATGTGCAAGTACTGAAATATTAAATATTCTGCCATTTTTAAAGAAATATAGGGAGAGTTCATACCTGTAGAATATGGTAGATGCTTCTGGCATTTTCTGTTACCTTGTGTTAGAAGTTGTAGTATACCTTGTTTGAATTTTGCCACCTATATGCTGCAGTATTGTATATTTTCTTGCAGAAATGCAGTTGTGTTACAGTCCAAGTTCTCTGAGAAAGTTAGTTTTACATAAATGTTGTCACAACTGTCCAACATGCTGTGCCTGACCCATGTTTTGAAACTTCTTGTTTCATACGTACATTTGGAGTCTGTTGAGATTCTTCATAGCTGCTGCTTAAAACATGGGTGTTTCACTGGTGACCTATGATGGGGATTGGTTTGTACAGACAGGTGAGCAGAGAGGCTCTTAACCAGCAGCTGTGGAATTCTGCAGTAAGTTTTAGTTCAGGTTACTTTAACTTTGTATAGCATGAAAGCAAATTTCTCTTTTATGTTCTTTTGTATACATACTAATTGTATTTATAAAATGTTCTATAATCCTGTACCTGTACTGTAAATACTGTTTGATACTCAGTGTCATTCTATCCTAGGGCAGGCCCTCCTGCTGTGTCTTTTCTATCCTCTATTTGTAATAGAATCTGTAGGATATATGGCTAGAAAGTTTCTTTGAGACTGAAGTATCTTCTGCTGTTGCAAAGCTGTGAGTGGAAATGATTTATTTAGACTCCCTTTAATGTTATTCAGCTAACAGACAGTGCAGTGGGTGGGTTCTTAGATGCTGCTGCTGCCAGCCAAGATACTATTAGGCTTTGGTTTCAGATGACTTTGGTGTTTCAGATCAGACCTTAAAATCTGTTTGCTTTAATTCAACCAAAGCAAAAAGATTGTAAGTTGGGTCAGTGTCGTCGTAAAATGTTTGAATGCCTTAAGATGCTCCTGGTAAAGGCACTATTCAAGTTTACGGATTTATATATATCTATATATATATATAGATATATTCCATATGTGTATATGTATATATAATGTTTGTATTATAAATATCCTTCTGATTGTTGGTTCTTTTGGATCTTCCAATTAAATACATAGACCACAGCACTACTCTGCTTAAGCAAATTCATTTATTACACGCCCAGTTAGTAAGCTTGACATTATGTTGCGTTATCCCACGCCTATAGCAAGTTACTCACCTATCTTTTGAGTATTCTGTACTTGTCTCTGTCATGACATGGGCATCCCCCTTTCACCAGGTCTCTGCATACCTGGGTGATACGTGATCTTGAAATGCTCACTGATATGTCTGGGTTTCATGGGGTTAAGTAGTGGTGGTGGCTGGGACCAACATCTTTAAGCCCCCTGATATTCCTGTGAAAAGAACATGCATCTTTTATGCTTTTCCAGTAGGTACCCAGAGCGTCCGTCCCCTTCATGCAGCAGACTTCCTCTGTCTACACCCAGCACAGGCAGCTTCCTTGCCTATGCTGACTGAACTGTTAGCACAGTATGTGTATTTGACCAAGGGCATATGCCTGAGTGGATGGTTGATGCTTACTTAGAAGTTACTTCAGAACAAGAGAGACAATTCCAACACTTGTGACCAGCCTGATTGAATTACCAGCTGCTGGTAATCGGTGACATTCCTGAGTTTTAGAAACTCTTGGTTTTCTCAAAATCAGTTTCTGTAGCATAACACCTGCTGTGTAATACAAAAATTACAGTTGATCTTTATAAGAAATTAAATCCTTGGTTTTGCTCATCAAATACCAAATGTAAACAGAAGTTGCCCAAGTGTGTTTATTTTTCTTCACATCCCTCTCCTGAAGTCCCTTTTACCCTGCAACAGTTCTACTAGCTAACAAAAAAATCGCATGTTTAATAGCAGAAATGTACTTGTACTTGGCTGTCATCTCATGTCTGTAACCTGTTCACAAAAGTATACATTCTGATGTTGAAGAATTCAATTTATTAGTATTCTTTCCCGGTCTCATCAAAATAATTAAATCTTATTTATTATGCATACATCATGTATCATGAAGCTGCTCCTTTTCTTGAGAAATATGATGACATATAACAACTTTCATGTTATTAGGAGGGAGGATAGTCTTTGAGAAAGTCCACTTCTTTAAGTGCACGTCAAACTGCTGATGCAGAAACCAGTGTCTTATTGCAGAGACTATCTTATATCCTTATACCTTTGGTTTGAGGGGAGTGAGTGGAAGTATGGCATCATTTTTCATTCATTAGCCACCTACAAATGGAAAGAGGGTAATCTCTCTAGCTCTCATCAACCAAATGATGTGATACAGTAATGTTTAGAATTGACAGAACTTATCACCAGCTTTATCTTACAGCTAAAGTAATGTAGGAAGGGTTGTTTTAAATCCAGGCACTCCTTAAAGGGAGAGACTAAAATTGCCTATTTAACAGTGTTAAACAGGTAAAAATAGAAAAGTGGAAGGGAGGAATGGATGTGATAAACTTAACTAAAAGACTACATAATGCTGCAGGTCTTCTGAGTTCACTGTAATGGATTGTCATAAACCTCCTGCATTGTGCCCAGCCTTTAGATCCTATTTGTTGCTAAGCAGCTGAGTAGGTTAACTGCTCCAACAGGGGCACCATACCCAAGGAACGTGTCTCAGCATATGATTTTCCTAGGACCAGTAGCACATGAGGTGGTTTTCTTTCCAAGAACACCACCCTTTTTAACAGCTTGAAGAGGTGGAGACAGTCACAAAGCAATGAGTATGTGGCTAGAAATCAATAAATGCTATTCACTAGGCAAACCGCATCGTGGATTATGGAATGTAATTAGCTGAAGGAAGCCCCTCTTTACAGGTTGATCCTAATTCTGCTCAGCCTGCTATTGGGGCAGGCCCAGTCTGGTGGTTCCTCACCACGCTGCGTCTTTCCTCCTCAGAGGTATGAACTTAGTGGGGTTGGTTTATAGCTTAGCTGTGCTCTCAGGCCTCTCATGTGCTGCTGTCAGGTTACATCTGCGGCAATACATACCAACACAGTCTGATGTTAAAATACATTTAAAATTCAAGCACTATTTCACAGCAGCGTTTTTAATATAACCGACATGCCTAAGGTGGCTAAGGTATCTTTCCACCATTGAATACATCTCTACCTATGAGATGAAATATAATGCCGTTTAGACCCAAGCACGGCTGAGCGCCCCTCACTGCCGCCGCGGATATTCTAACGGACGCCGTGGGGCAGTCCCAGCCCTTGGAACGCTTGCTCCAGCGCAGGCGCGCCGCACTCCTCTCACCTTCGACGGACGGCGGCGGAAAACAGTCCCTATACAAGCATTGGTGGTTCAGTGGTAGAATTCTCGCCTGCCACGCGGGAGGCCCGGGTTCGATTCCCGGCCAATGCAACTCTACCTTTTTTGTTGTTGTTCCCTTTGCTCTTTTTCCTCCTTAAAAGTTAAACAAAAGCCAAAAAAAGTTACGGGTGTCAGTCGTACTGCTAAAACAGAAGCCAGCGTGTGGCTGGTATGGTTGGATGGACCTTCCCTTCCCATCACCCCCCACATAGCCTGCCCCGCCGTCTGCCCGGGCTGGAAGTGACGCAGCCGGATTTGCCTTCAAACTGCCGGCGGCGGCGGGAGGAGGCCGTAGGTCGGGGGTGGAGTTAGTGCTGCTGCAGCGGCAGTAGGAGGAGGAAGGAGAGACGAGCGAAGGGGTTGTGGCTGCTGGGAGCTGTTGCTGCGGTGGGGCCGAGCTCTGGAGAGGAGTAAGTGAGCGATGAAACACTGGTATCTTTGCTCCTCATGGCAGCTGGGCTGTCCTCCGCCCACACGTACCACTTGCGACCGTTGGGGGTTCCGTCCACCTTTCCCGTCCGCCGGTCTGAGGCGAGGACCGACGTCCGCGCTCGGGCGGCATGGGGAGCCTCGAGGGGAAGCTCCCCCCGGGCTGGGCGGGAGGAGGGTTCCGGCTCCCTCGTCCTGCGACCCAGGGGCCGGGACCTGCTTTGGGGAGTGAGTCGCTACGGTCATTGTTGTCGCTACACCCGTGACTATTAACACCGGCCTCGTCGGTCTTAAGTCTTTGCTGGAGCTCACTCGTGCTCGGAGCCTCACGGGATGTCGCCGCGGATTCCCCAAAGTTAATGGAGGCGCGGGTGGCTGCAGGTGCATGGCCGCTCAGCTCCCTGCCCTGGTGCCATTGCACCGCGGGCACCGGCTCGGACACTGGGCTGCACTTCGTGCTTCTTTCGCTCTCCGCCTCTTTATTTTCCTTTAAGGGAGTAAACTTTTGGCAGATAGTCAAGTTTTCTCTCCGAACAGAGAGAAGCAGTGTAGACATCAGTTCTAGGTCCCCACGCCTTCTAAATTTTCTGAGAAACTTGTTAATTTAACACTGACCTTTTGAGAGAATTCCAGCCCTTGTGAAATAGGGAGTAATATACCTTTTTTAAAAGACTTTTTTAAAAAAAAAAAAAAGTCTTTTGGCTTAAAATCTGCCAGCAGATTTTATGTTTTCAAGGCCATGTTGTGGTAATACAATAGAGTATCTGTATACTGAGGTTTTTTTTCAGTAATTTTTTCTTCAGTAACCAGCTAGGTATGCTTGTATCTGTTGTTCCTGGTGTTTGTTTTTTTCACTACTGCTGAATACGAGTGGATGAGAACCAGTTTGTTTCACATCCAGTAAGTCTGGCAGCTCTTCTATTTCCCAAGTAATTAACACAATCCCGTGTTGACACCAAATGTTGCTAGGAGTGGATGTCACGAAGAAGACTGTTAAAGGTGCAGGGGAGGTCAGAGGTGATGCCAAGCCGCTGTGTCACCAGCACAAACTGATTCCTGAAAAATATTACTTGGGTGGGGTTTTTACGTTGTTTTTTCTCTTCTGGTTTGCTGAGAGAACTTTTCTGAATTTCACATGGTGGCTCTGATGTCAGAGCCTGTATAGCAGCCTGAAATAATGGAAATGTGGGCTCCGGCTTAGTCCGAACATTAAGGTTGGACTGAAGGACTCTTTAGAGGTGTTTTCCTTGTATGGCTGGTGCTGTTCTCCAAGTCAGAAGGGTAGCTGCTGGGTACCCTGTAGTAACTGCTGGACCCCAACTTCAATCTTCCAACATCTGCATCCCAACATTAATCTCTTAATTTTTTTAAAGTTGCAGGGGGTTTCTTTGTGAAACAGCATTGGCGCTGTGTTCAGTTACACCTTCCCACGTTCTAATGTATGAATATAAGCAGAAATTACCTAGAGTCATTCCTTGTGATAACTCCTTAGAGTCATGATGTATTCCCAGTGTTTTCCTGATGATGGTCAGGCTGTTATCTTTAAAATAAAATACAAAAATAAGTTCTAAACACTCATTCTGAAAAGTTTTATGTATTTTGAACTTTCTTTAGTTTTCAGGCTCCACTACTTTGAGCTGCTCCAAACTCTAGAAGTATTTTAAGTGCTTGCAGCAAATGAGAAAATGTATTCGGTTACTAGCGGTGTGTTAATTTGATGGGTTTCTGCTGTGTTAATTTCAGGGAACCACATATACTGATAACTAGTGTAGAAAGTATTCTTACTGTGAAGCATGTGTGTTTGTACACAGTGTAGAATTAAACTTGCAAGACAAAAGTGCTTAGATTATTTTCTTTATATCCTGTGCACTGTAAACCTTACAAGCTCATTACTATTTGCTGTGGAACATAGATAATTTCACTGGGCATGATTCATGGAAAGGTCATGGCTGATAACGTGCAGCCTTGCTGCTTTGACATTTTGTTATGCAATAATAGTAGCTGTTGGTAAATACTTAGGTGCAGGATTAGTTGTGTATTGCTTTTGGTTTTTGTTTTTTTTAATTCCTTCAGGTCTGGTTTAACTTTGGATCTGTGCATGCTCACATCTGTTCCGCGTGTGTCTTGCCACCCTGAGTTGTCACAGTGTGACTTTCTGCTGCAAACTTTAATCTGGGTTCAGATTAGTACTCTTAACTCCTTTTTTTCCCCGTCTTAAAACTGCTTCAGCATCTTCAGTTACAGGTGCAGTAAGGCTACAGGCATACATTACTGCATCAGCTCTGACACTGCCAGTATTCAAGTGGCAGCAGCAGTGGCATGTCCAGACATAAGCAGAGTCAGCAGCTTTTTCTGCCCTGTTTGTACACAAGAGCCTTGTATTCAGAAGCCACTTCAACATCTTCTGCTCTTATGACTCAAAATGAAGGAACAAATTACATTTGTTTTCTAGCTTACACTAAATTCTCTTGCATTTTCAGTACCACAGATTAAACTGGTAGATTCATGGGTTTTCATTGGTACTACTGCTTTTGGTTATGTTGGAAGCATTATAAACTTAAGTGATCGCCTTCTCCCCCCCACCCCCTTGTCCTTTATGTCCTTCCTCTCTCTGTCTTCTGTCTTGCTTTATTACGGCTATTTTAACATTTCCAGATGAAAACTACTCTTTCAAGCTTCTTCCCCTACATCCCAGTATTTAAACAGAATTGCTGTTCTGTTTGGATTGCTCTACAACATTTGGGGGGGGGAAGAATAGTTATCTGTGACTTCTCTCTGTGTTTGACAGTCTAGTTTGGCTTTAGTAACTTGCTGTTACTTAATTTTTAAAAGGTTTATTAGCATCTTGCTCAACTTGTGATTTTAGCAGTATTAGTCATCGGTTTGAATTCTCAGGACAGGCAAACAGGTGTATCTGGTAGGATGAGCAGGAGTGGAAAAGCTTGCTCCTAAATATAGCAGGGAAAACTTTGATAATACCTGTGTGATGATCCACAGAGCAGTTGACAAACACCTTCAGGCTTTTTTCTCCCGAGGTAAAAACCAGCAAGGCTCCAAAGTCAAACTGTGCCTCCAAAGCCTAATTAGCCTGGGTTTTGGCAGCCTTTGTAGTTTCTGGTCACATTAACTGTATCAGCTTGTAGCCAGCTCAGCCAGCCTCCGGCTGGAGTGAGATTATATAGTGTAGGTTCTTAGGGTAGCACGTTTCACAGACTCAACCCCACAGGTCCCTTCTCTGCGCATGGGTGTGGGCTGTCAGAGGCATATCTTCAGCTCCTCTGCTGCTAAGAGTTTTGCTGTTCAGGGTGAAGCTTTTCACAGCAGCTATCTGCTCCGGGGGAAATAGGAGAAGAAAAAGAAAAGAAGCAGAAAGAGAATATTGGCTCAGAAACAGATTAGCTGTGAGTCCATGCATAAAGCTGCTTGGGAAGGGCATAGAAAAAGCAGTGGAAGGTATAAAATGTTTGACTTGTAATTAGCAGCCCCTCTTTAGAACAGTAGCTTGTCTGGTGTGTGCAAGGTGTAGCTTCTGAAACCTCCTATACTTTGTCTGAATTTGACCCTGACCTGGTCTTGAAATGTGTTGAGTCTTCAGTCTGTTTATTGCGCATGTGAGTTTAGTACCTCTTACATTCTTTAAATAGTTGATCTGTGTCAAGTATGCTTCATCCCAGGGCTTAGCTGCAGTTGCTTTTCTGCAATTGCTTGTTCCTGGTAGTGGGTACAGGTACCAGAATGAGAGCAAGATGACTCCTGCAAGCATGTTTTCTGTGCTTATTTTAATGTTTTCTGTGCTTGGTTCTAGGAGATTAGGAGAGTGGGGAAACTCCGGCTGTGCAAGAGACAGGAAGAGTGGACACAGTGCAGGTATCTTGAAGAAGGAAGGGGGTGGAATATGTAAGAAACAAATAAGAACATAGGCTGATTGCTGTATGGGCAGTGGTGACTGGCAATTGTGTGTTTATACAAATAATACAGTATTTGTATAAATAATAATTCTGATCTATTCTAATGGAAAGGGTCTGATTGTGCTAGTGCTGCAGAGTGGAAGTGGTTGCAGTTCATAATGCTTGCTCCATAAAAAAAAAAAAAAACAACAAAAAACAACAAAGCCAACTAAACCACTGGTAGGGAAAAGTAGCATAGTTTGAACAGTATGTTAAATAAAGTGAGTATCTACACACTCACTGTTCAGCTGTAGCCTATATACATGGAATGTTAAGGCAAAAAAAACAACCCAAAACTTAATTCATATTGGAGATGGGCTTTGGTTTATTGTTTGTTGGATTGTTGTTTTTCTTAAACTGCAGGCTATAGTATGGACAGTGTAATGCTAACAGTAAAATAGCCATCTATCTTAGAATAGAATAAAGAGGGAAGGAGAGTATGCAGTTGTGGCTTGCAATGGTACATTTAAATCTGCATATCTTATCTATGCTTTTCAACAGGATCTTCATTGTGTGAAACAATTTTAGGAAGTGAAGAGCTGAATTTTTAGTAACAGAGAAACAATTATCTTTTCATATTAATTGCATTCATTCTAGGGCTTTTTTCTAAGCAGTATCTTTCCAGCTTCTATATTTTGATAATGCCAAATGAGGTAATAGTTTAAAAAATGTGTTCTGATCCTGGGATTATTAATTTTTTCCTTAATATTTCCTGTTTTTTCAGCTTCATGTTGAACATGAGCATTGTTATGATCAGCGAGAATGTAAAGCTGGCCCGTGAATATGCCTTACTGGGAAATTACGACTCTGCAATGGTCTACTACCAGGGAGTTCTTGACCAAATGAATAAGTATCTCTACTCTGTCAGAGATACATATCTGCAACAGAAATGGCAACAGGTGAATAATATTTTTCTGGACTATTTTGAGGGAAAAGCATTAAAGTAGCAAAAATTGCCTGTCATGGTAAAGTATAAAAATACTCGCACTGTCCTCTGATAAACTGTAGTGCTGTTATATGTAGGCATTTTTCCTTGTTATTTTATAGACTTACTTAAGGAATCTTTATGACTTCTTGCTCTGATGATGACAAAACAGGCAATGGAACATAGCCCTGGGGATCCAGTGTACTGCCTGACTTGTCAGCTTCCTGCTGATGAGTGCCCCTGTTATGCTGAAGTTTTGTAGGCTGGTATCATTTTGAATAGTCTTATTTCCTTCTCAGTGTTTCAGTAGTGTGACTTAGATCCTTAATAGAAACTGAGTTGTGGCCACCATGTTAATATATCTTTAACATAAACCACCATTTTTTTCATCAACACTGATTCTACAAGGTTGTGTTCTTTTCTGTCGTACTGAAAAGTTTCTACAAGTGCTTGTGTTGTGTTATTCTTTTCTGTATGATCAGGTAGCTTGTTTAATATCCAGGCATTACACAGGCTTGAAATGAAGACTCATAAACTTACTTGCAATGTGCTTAATCCACTTTGTTGGTTTTTGGTTTTTTTTTTCTAATCAGGTTTGGCAAGAGATAAGTGTGGAAGCTAAGCATGTAAAAGATATAATGAAAACACTAGAGAGTTTTAAACTAGACAGTACGCCACTGAAAGCTTCACAACAAGAATTACCAGCTCATGAGGCAGAAGTCTGGTCTTTGCCAGTACCTGCTGAACGTAGGTAAGAGGAAACTTGAAGACCTAAATTAGCATTTATCAGGGCAAAGTGAGCATTGACTTTGTCCTGTTCTTGTGTAATTTTTGTTCTAGAACTTAGATGTGTAACACACCAGCAGCTTGCCACCATTTGTGGTCAAGGAGATGTCATTTTGAGGCAGCCTGCTTCAGAACATTCTGGGGCTTTTATCTTGTGTACACTTCAGTAATGTCAAGTTTGGTCCTTGTTTTTTGTTGTTTTTTTTTTGGGGGTGGGTAGAGGCATTTTGTTTTGGGAAAGGTGTTTTGTTTGGTTACTTGTTTGCTCTTTCCCGTTCTTTTTTGGGGGGGGGGGGGAGGGGAGAGAGGTGGTGGTTTTGTATTTCCCTGACTTAAGATAAACTTGTCATTCTGTTGCAGCTCAACTCTATTCTTTTATTAGTCTTCTTACCAACTTAAAAATGATTCTGCATGTAGCTGATATGAAAAGGATGAAGACATGTTATCGGAATAATATAAAATTTAGAAGTGTCCAAGCTCAGTTCTGTTGTGTAGCAATGTGGTTCCCTGATCTCCTTCTTGAACTGGTCAGTTAGGCTAGGTCAGTCCTAGCCTAACTGAGCTAACATAAGCTCAAGGGGAGGGCTAGGAACAAGCAGCTTCAGGCAAGCCTGCTTATTTCAGAATTATGCTGGGTTAGTATCTGTGAAACCAAGGCCTTGTGGTGTGGTTTGACAGTGCAGCTGCTGCTGATGGATAGTCCTACCCTCTATAGTTGCCTGAGAGGTTTGTTTGTTTTTTTTTTTTTTTACTTTCCTCTTTGTTGGTGTTGATTAGCTGTTTCAGAATGCTAAACCAGCAAAAAAAGACATTGTTTTGTGGGGCTAGTGTTTGTTTCCCACACCCCCACTTCCCTGAAATTAACTATCTGAACTGGTTAACTGCAGGTTCTGACACATGCCTGTAGTAGCTTGAAGGAGGGAACAGGAGTGCATGCAAAGCAGACACGAACTGTGCATTTTGACATCAAGTGACTATTAGATGAGCTTAGCTGTTCTTTGAGACTTTGAACTTAAGAGCTATTTCTCATATATCTAACTTCAGTTTTTATGGGTACATTTTTACATTTCCTTTTTAAATGATTTTAAGTCTGACTTCTGAAAGAAATGGATCTTGTGTGATCACGCTGTTCTGTTGATCTCATTTAATAACTAGGAACACTGTTACCCAATTTCATTCAAACCTTCTGGAAGAATAGAGTCTCAGAGGTAGAACCCTCCTAATGTTTTGAAGCATTCTAGAGAAGAGATACACATACTTGTGTTTCTAAAATGGGAAAGACTTGAGATAACTGTTTCTGTTCCATTTAAGTTGCCATCTGGTGAAGCATTGAGTTGTGATAATACGAAAAAGCCATGGTGAATACTTAGGCCATGTTGCATTGGAATAACCACAGTAAATTCCTGTACTGAGATAGCAGGACTCAAATGTAGGTGGAAATTAGATGTGTAATCATGCTATTCCTTTATTTTGATCTTTGTGGTGGAATTTAGAGATGCCTGGGTGTTCATAAGTAAAAGTATAGGTTGGTAGATATTCCATTTGGAGAGTGAAAAGACCTTAACACATATGATCGTATCCATTAGCATATTCATATTGGCTAATATGCATTTCACACTGAAGAGAGATGTACAGTTGTGACAAACTTGCTGCTGTGACTCGGTTAAAGACAGCTTTTATGAATGTACTGGATCCTGATATATATTGAGTGGTCCATAATACTAGGATTACTTTTATTTATGAAATATACAAAGCAAGGAGCTTGTTTTAAGCAAACGAGCCGTAAGCTTGTGGGAAAGGAAAAGTGGATTTTCAGTGACTATCTGAAAGTGTCTGTCTTGTTTCTGACATGCAGATTTTTATTTTGAGCAAAATGGCTTTTTAGTTTGTAGCCTTGATTTGGTTCTGTAGTGCTCACCAGTGACTTTACACTGAGTTTTTTTTCATATATTACAACTAATTAGACCTTCGCCAGGACCTAGAAAACGTCAGTCTGTTCCATGCAGTGATTGCAGAGGTCACAATAATCGTGTGAGTGCAGCTGTCAGAGGCCCTCACCGTCCATCCTCTCGAAATCCCAGTGATAAAGGGAAGGCGGTTCGCGGCCGGGAAAAAAAGGATCAGCAAAATAAAGGAAAAGAGGAAAAGGTAAACTTGCAAATAACTTCATGAAGTTGAGAAACTCAGTCTTGTTTTCTTAATATTGAGTGTATTATAAAATTAGATGCCTGTAAATGTTTCTTCTGTTCAATCAGCATGCTGATTTGAATCGCACTTTATAAGGTATCTTTGCTTTATGGACAGTCTTAGTTACAGATTAAGTAAAAACAAACAAACCCCAAAAAAACCCAACCAATCAAACAAAAAAAAAAAAAACCCCAAAACTCCCAAACAGCCAAACCCTGAAAAAACAAACTAAACCTTCTTCTGGAGGAAGTGATCTGGTAAATGTGGGCTTGTTTACTGCAACTTGGATATAGTATACATCTGAATTATTGAAGCTGAACCTGATAGAGCTTGTTCAAATGGGGTGTCCTTGCTTTCATATATTTTAGGCTGGCACTGACTTGCCTTTTCCAAAGTATTTCAAGATCTGTTTAATTGTAATTTTGTAATCAGATTGTAATCTGTTTAATTGCCTTTTCTTATTTTTTGGTTGATATCTGCTATTAGCTCCAGACTCTTCAGTTTAAAACAAACTGAATCCCAACATACTTCATGAGAGGAAATGATCCATGCAGTCAGAGTGTTTTAAGTTTTGCTTGTGCTCTGGTCTCCATAAATTTAACTGACCAGAGTAGCAGGTCATACTGAAGACACTAAACTTTCCAGAGTCTAAGCTTCCAGAGAAAGCTTAGTGTCCAGAGTCACTAAGCTTTCCAGAGTCTGGATAAGTCAAATATCGATGTAACAGTTTGATAGTTTCATCCACCATATGTTGTGGCAAGATGTCATGGCCTGTGGAAGTAGTATAAACTACAAGGGTGGAATTGTTTAGTGATGTAAGCTACTATTTTTTATTGGGAGCTAAATTACATTGTCTTTGAGTGATAATCCTCTCTCAGTATGGATAAAAACACACAGAGACAGGGTAGGTCTTTTTTTTTTTTTTTTACAGTTGTTCTGTCAACACAAGTGCTTGCTGTTAAATGTATAAAAAATGGGGTATGTCTATTGCATTTTATTTCGTTTCAGTTGCATGGTCTCTGCTGTTTGAGCCCTTTCAGCTGTATAGCTTCTTTGCTTCTGCTTTCCTGCTGTATCAGTTAATTAGCTCTTTTTTTACTTCTGTGGTCTTCCTGCAGATCACCTTTTCTTATCCTTCATATGGAAGTCCTGCTTAGTTTTTTTGGTCTCCCATATATATGGCATATTTATGACACACGATTTGAGATACTCTGGCTTAGTATGACACTTTCTGATCTAGCCTTACGTATAATTCCACCTACGTAGCTACTGTCTCAAAGTTTTTGATTCCTCTGGAAGAAACATTTTTGTACTGCGATAGGTGCATGCAGTTTTGATTATCTACTAAAGCAAAGGAACTGCATCAGTACAATATGCTGGCATTTCCTTCCTGGAGAAGGAAATGGGATGAGGGCAGTACAGAATTTTGGGAGAACCACATAGATCCTGCAGTGCACCAGAAATATGGATGCTTCATAATTTTTATGCTGGTTTATGTTGCTGCCTTCTAGAAGTATGATGCTATTGTGGACTTGTATAAAAATCCATTAGTAGCATAACCATTGTTAAGTGCTTATGTTATATCTTTTATATGTAGAACAAATCTGCGTCAGAGGTTTCAGAGGCTGAGCCAAAGAAATTTGATAGTACTGGATATGATAAAGATTTAGTAGAAGCTTTGGAAAGAGATATAATTTCTCAGAATCCCAACATTCGATGGTAAGTTTGAATACTGCTGACAGTTTTTCTGAGTTATTTCTTTTTCCTCTTATGTAATATGACAAGACTAAAGTATTTTAGCATATGGTTGCGCATAAAAAGTACCTACAGGTTTTCTATACTGATTAAATAGGCGACTAAACTTCTTGTGTGGCTGAATATTTTTAGAACACTTTTTTTTCCACCCGTAGATTCATAGAATAGTTTGGGTTGGAAGGAGCCTTTAAAGACCAGCTGGTTCAACCCCATGCCATGGCCCAGGACATCTTTTGCTAGATCAGGTTGCTCAAACCCCAGCCTAAGCACACAAAGCTTCTCAAACTTTTCTAAGAGTCCTAAAATGGATTTTTTAGATAGTCTTTTGCAATGTAGAAGATTCTAGTATCTGCCAGTGTCTCTTTGTTTAAAAACCTGTTTTGCTACCCAGAGGCATACCAAGATAGTAAACCAATTAACAAAGAAGTTATGTCAATATAGGAACCCTTTGAAATCTTGTTGGACATGCTGTGACTGCCAGGATAAAATACAATCATGTGCCAGTACCTTTACATAAATGTGATAAATATTAAACCTTATACAAAGCTTGGTTTGTGTTGCAAATGTTTCCAAACTTAGGTGATTTTTGTGAGGATTAAATGATCAAAGATCTTCTGGAAAATAAAATAGGCTTAAAAAAAACCCAGGCTTGAACAATCCCACAAACAACTTGTTAATGCATGCAGCTGACATGTATTTCACTTTAACATGTAAATACATGTTTCAGTTTTCATGTTGTATCTTAAATTGAAACTTCAGATTTGAAACTAATTCTTCGTATAGATACGTTTTGAAACCAAAATATTACTTGGGCAAATGCTGATAAGTGAAATGCCTAAGAGTTAACCTCAGGAAAATCAGACCAGCTTATAAGATATCTAAGAACTAATAATTTTGTAACTCTGAAAAAGAATTCTAAAAATTCTTTTAAATTCAACTCTGTTTTCCAGTCTTCGGTAAATTGTTCTCATACCAATGAAAGCTGGCATTCAGGTCTCATGGGCAGCCAACCTCTTGGCAAAAGAAGAAAGTATCATCTGTAACTACCATAAGTTTAAACAACTTGCCTTATCCTGCTTATTCTTTCTGTGAATAAGATCAATGATGCCCTCATGAAAGAGTTGTGTCTCGTTGCTTTTGCATCTAGCTGCAGTCTACTAGTCAGATGTCAGCTGTTTTGCTGTAGGCTTTTATCTATTTCTGTAGGCTTTTGACACTAGAGCATAAATAAATTCAACTTTTCTTCCTGAATTACAGAAGAGCTGTTACATAATAAGTTTAACTGCATATTGTTTTGAATTGTGGACTGATTGTTTTGCAGCCTGTCTGAATCTGTCCAACAACTTCTTCTTTCTTGCCAGGGATGACATTGCTGATTTAGTAGAAGCCAAAAAGCTGCTTAAGGAAGCTGTAGTTTTGCCCATGTGGATGCCGGAGTTTTTTAAGGGAATTAGAAGACCATGGAAGGTACGAAAAAATCTGATCCTGTGATCTTAAGTAGGATTCTGAGATTGGATCTTGGCGGAACAAGAAATTTCAGGTGTTTTGTAGTTTATGTAAATTCTTTCCACTTTTCAGTAACAAAGTTTATGGTAAATAATACTAACAAAATAAAGGTGTCGGCTGGTTAAATACACTGTCTTCAGCTATGTTGTATTATTGTAATAGCAATCAGTTACTTACCTTTGAATAATTCTTCATGGGAAAGTTTACATCTAGTATTTTAATATTACACCGCTAAACTGTGAAATTGTCTCTGTTTTGATTCTTGTCCTGAAAGTGATTCTTTTGTTTTTATTCTAATAGGGTGTTCTGATGGTTGGTCCTCCTGGTACTGGAAAGACCCTCCTGGCAAAAGCTGTAGCGACTGAATGCAAGACTACTTTTTTCAATGTTTCTTCTTCCACACTTACCTCAAAATACAGAGGAGAATCTGAGAAACTTGTTCGTCTACTGTTTGAAATGGTGATTGAAGTTCCTGAACATAAATAGTGAGATAATGAAGTAGAATTACCTGTGGAATAGTAAAACTTAGCTAAGGCGTAGAAGTCATAACATAAACAGCTCTCCAAGCGTCAAACATTTTAGGACCGTCTGATTTGGCTGAGATCTGGTTATTCTTAAATAGCTTTATAAAAATGGAAAAAATAGGTTATCTTTATTTTCAGGGTTATCTTTTTATATTAGAGGTAGCTCACTATAAGCTGATAAGCACTGTAGAACATACTCGAATGTAAAAGTGAAGGTGGAATCTAATGCTTTCTGGGTGAGAACCCTGCTTAGGCTGTGCATGTTTTGTTGTTGTGGGTGGTTTTTTTGTTCTTAAAATAAGTGGAATTACAAACTGTAGTTGTCTTCAGAGCATATAACACTTGAAATTGGCTCAGAACATGTAGTCTTTTATGTTTTTCCATGTGTTAATAGGTCTGCATTTGGTGTTTGCTGTGGTGCTCGGTACTGAAGGGGGCAGCAGAGCTGCAGTTACAGTAGTCAGAAAAATCAGGAAATACAAGATCATAGTTTGATAGGCATGATATCAACTCATTTAATATGATCAATCAAAAATGCAGATACATAATGAACAGCATCTCAACTGCTGTAGGACAACAGCTTTTATTTTCCCAGATCCTTGTCTTTAACCTCTCTTGGTTTTGGAAAGACTAAAGTTATTTTGCAGTTAACCTGTTTTTTGGACAGGTTCCATATTATGATGTCCTAGCTTTAACTTGAGTTGTTATTCCTGCTTGAATAACTGAGGACTTTCACAGTTATAAGTCTTACTGTGTTATTATGATGTCTGTAAAACTGCCTTTAGCTTTTTAAACATTGTTTATAGCCCTAACAATTACAGGACTTTGCCAAAACCCATGCTGTTCAAATGGTATTAATGAATGCACAGCTGCTCTGTAGTTGTGTGCAGTGGTCAGAGAGGGAAGGTTAGGTATTGTCTGATACTCGTTCAGTTTTGAATGTGCTGCTGTTTCTTAAATGTGAGTAGACTGCTATTTCAGTTTCTGCTTTATCTTTTGCTTTCTTTAGGCTCGATTTTACGCCCCAACAACTATATTTATTGATGAGATAGACTCTATCTGTAGTCGCAGGGGAACTTCAGAGGAGCATGAAGCTAGCCGACGTGTGAAGGCAGAGCTGCTAGTTCAGATGGATGGTAAATACCCTGATTGCTGGGAAGTGCTGGACTGGAGGAAACTTGAGGGAGGAAAAATAATCAATCAAAACTTCATTCTTCAGAAGCGATTTCTTTGAAAGTCTTACATAAAGTTGGGGTAAAAAGATGAAACTGTGCTGTTCCAGCTGTCAGTGTGGAAGGAAAAAAATATACCAGTTATCTAACAGTCTTTCAGCATCTGAGCAACAACCTTATATTACTGATCCAGAGTAACAAAGATTCCAAAAATATAGAAGAAAAAACGTATTAACTGCTGCTCTCAGTCTTTACCTAGCATATCATTTCTCCAAAACCAGGGAAAAGGTGGCTCAAAAGAACTGTCATGTGTTCCAGTTTAGACTTCAAAGCAATCATTGCACTTAGTTTATTTTGGATCCTTTTTTTTTTTCCCACTTAAATATATAAATAAAAAGGCAATTTTTTTTTTATAGAAGTGGTTGGGACTGTTTTCTTTTTAAACCACAGATTATTACAGCTATTTGGTTAATGTTTCACAAATCAACGAAGTTTAAAAGTAGGTAACACTGCAGAGTTTTTATAGAGGCATCCTTTTTATACTCTGCTGAGCAAGGAGAAAGGAGAAGGGCAGCTGAAAAGTGCTAGTCTATGGAGTAATTTGTGGTACAATTACATGAGTCAGAAGATTTGTATATTTGATTCTCTGTTGCTGATACCTTTTTATGTTTGACTTTAAATAGCAGCAGATCTGTAATACTCATAACTCAAGTATGTACATAACCTAATTTTATTAGTAACAACTATTAGAAGTCCTTTTGCTTGACACTCATAAATGATGTTTTGTATGCAGATTTTCAGGCAGACTAGGCTATTCCACAGCCTAGTCCTATAAGCAAAACCAGTAAATGCAGAGAGTAGCAGGTTTAATGAAACTAACTTTTGTATATAGCAGCAGTTTCACGGTACTTTCAACGCAGAGGTGTTCTCTCTGAGAAGTTGTTATTCAGTCCACCAAATAAGCATTCACTTCAGCAGTTTGTAAGAATCCACCTGTGTATGTGAAGTGTTTGGCCTAAAATTAGAAGTGAAAAAAATTTGTAGGGGAGAAATGCTGCTTTTGTGTAGCTGTTAATGAACACTGCGGGGGGAAGCGTCTGTTTTTTTGGTGTGCTGATGGGTTTGGGGGGCTTATTTTGTTTTTTCTCACATGCTGTTACCGGACATTGATGTGAAAATTCAAATACTGTACTGTCAGAAATCCAACCAGCTCTGCTGTAAAACTGTTCCTGCCATGTTAGGGAGGACCTTGGTGATCTGAGTGGTGGCCTATGCCGCTGCTCCTAATTAAACGAAGTTTCCATTTTTTCTTGCAGGCTGTCATACAGGTGAAAAACTGCACTCTGTTGCCCTTAGTTATTCTGTTGTGCTTAGACTCACTAAAGGGCATTATGGTAGCTGCTTTAATATTACAGAATTGTGGATATTGTTATCTCTACATGAAATGCCATGAAACATGTACGTTTTGCTTTCTTTTTTCTCCAATGCAGGTGTTGGAGGGGCTACTGAAAATGATGATCCTTCCAAAATGGTCATGGTACTTGCTGCTACTAATTTTCCTTGGGATATTGATGAAGCCTTAAGACGGAGACTAGAAAAGAGAATTTATATTCCTTTACCATCAGGTGGGAAGACTTGGGGAGAGGAGTGGTTGGAAAGACTAAAACCTAAACTTTATCAATATTCCTTTACATTTGATCACCTGGTTTAAAGATTTTATACATGTATGAAATTAATTTGTTAATTCAGAACAAGTTTAAATCTAAACATTGAACATTTATCTTTGTAGCAAGTACAGTGTTTTTGCTCTCATTCTTCCTCTCACCATTTTGCAGTTCATTATTTATCTTCAGAAAGCAAATCGTACAGACTCAATTTTCTGTTCTTTGATTAGCAAAAGGTAGAGAGGAACTCCTAAGAATAAATCTACAAGAGCTGGAATTGGCTGATGACGTTGACCTTGCAAATATAGCTGAGAAAATGGAGGGTTACTCGGGTGCAGACATTACCAATGTATGCAGGTATGTTAACATTGCATCATTTGTGTTACTACTGCTACAAGCTGTCTTAAGAAAACTGTTTGTAAAGTAATTTACATGATTAAAATTGTTGGATTAAAAACAGACTGTAATTTGTTTTCTATGTATGGCTAAAAGGTAAAATACTACATTAATTAATTAGATTTCTGTTTGATATTTTCATATAATAATGATGGAGAGCAGTTGCAACGTGGGAATCTAAACAAACTATGATTTAGGTAAAATTCCATGTTCTTTCATGTACACCAAATTCCTTGCATGAGGAACATCCACAGAATGGTAGACTAAGTTTTGCAGAGTTGCAGTCATTCTGCTGAGGTTACGCTAGTTTAGCCGAACATCCATGTGTAAGAGGCAATAGTGGCAGAGGCAACAATAACTAAAGTAAAAACATGGAGTGTTCTTCCTTCGTGACACAGAAAAGGTACACTGCGTTGTGTGACAGTATGAGCTGTGTACTCCGCATGTTGGCTTTAGTGATGAGTGGTTTAAGTTTTCTTCTGCTCCTTCCCCTCAGTCATGTTTACATGCAATCATTTGTGAGCCTATTCTATAGCCTAAATTACTGAAAATACTTTTTAGCCCTTCCCCCAGTCTCCGCTTTCAGAAATTGAAAGCGGAAGGAAAGGACTGATCTCCTGAGAGACTTAGTATCAGTCATTTGATGTATATCTGAAGATTTGCACTGGCACAGTTGGAGCAATGGCAAATTATGGAAACAGCAGTAATGAACAAAGAACTGAAACTTCGTAAGATGCTGTTGTCATCTAATAAGCACCTGTGTAAATGTACTTTCAGGCTTTGGGGGCAGCACTGAAATGTGGCAGTGCAAGGCTTGAGCTCTTAGCTGTGCTAGTGCCAACTGCTGTGGGGCTGTACTTTGAACAGGATAAGAGAAATGTTCTGTATTAAAACCACCTCCTCATTGCTTTCCTGAAACACAGATCCATTTCTTGCCTTGACTCCTAATACAGCTCTGCAAACACTTGTCAGGACAGCTGAAAGGACAATGTGCAGGGATGAATGCGAGTAGCCTGCATGCAAAACTGCCACCAAAGGCTCTATCAGCAGGGTCGCTTCAGGCTGAACTAAGAGTTTGGAGCCTCAGTACTATTTCCTCAACAAACCTTACACAGTGTCTGGGAAAAGAACGGTATGTTAGTTGTTCTGAACCAGTGTTGGGCAGATTTGTTTCATTTGTAGGTCTGTGAGATGAATTTGTGGTGGTATTTTGCTTGGTCTTGCTGTTGGTTGTCCTTTGAAAGCAGTTTGTGCTAATAGGCTCATGTTATGTGAAAGAGAATTTGTTTGGCCTACTCTTCAGTAAATTTTAGCTGCAGTTTGTGTCATCTGGTCTGTTCAGTGTTTGGTTTCTGTCATTCCATTTCATACTGGATAGCAATACAGTTGTTTAAAAGTCAGCATACTTGTAATGTTTTTCAGTGAATTTCATATATGTATATATTTATACGCACTGTTGCTTTTTTTTTTCTTTAATCAGAACTTAAAAACCCAACCAAACAAAAAAAAAAACAAAAGCAAGCAAACACAAACCCACAAAGAAATATTTGAGTCTTTCATTTGTGGCAGTCTTCTTAGAGATGACTGACATGGCAGCAACCAGAAATCCAGACAAACTGTGGTTTGGAGGTGCACAAATTGAAATTAGTAAGAAAGTGCTTGTATTAGCCTGTTAACTGTATCAGGAAAACAGATGTTGCACATAATTGTCTCATTTACATTGAGACAAAAAGACATATGGCTTATTTAAAAGTGCTTTTGTGTAGTTGAGACTTGCAGTATATAAGCAAATTTCAAACTTGCAGGCTAGTGTCCTCACTCATGACAGGAGCAAAACTTAAGAAAGAGTGAACCAAGAACTCTGGTTTTCTCAAATTATTCTACTACCTTAAAGAACTGGAGGTGAAATCCAAGGTTTTCTGAGCTGGAGTGAAACCCAGTCAGAGATAACAGTGCAGTTCTGAACAGTCAGTATGTAACCATGGAAAATGTAGGTGAAATGTTATTATAATAAGACATTCAGGAAATCGCTAAATTGCATAGCAGATGTAATTATGAACTTCTCTTGGATTGTTGTTTTGAGTGTACTGTGAAGGTTGAAGGCCTTAGGGATGCTCCCTCCAGGTATATCACTGGCTCTTTGTTCACAAATGTTAACAACAGCAAATCGTGGTGATACTGGACTGAGATAGAGTTTAACAAGGCAACTTTTTGGGATTGTTCTGAAATTCTCTTTACTGTAGTATGCATTCTAATTGCTGACAATTATTTAGTAAACAAACCTCCCCTATGAAGACAGGCTGAGAGATTTGGGGTGGTTCAGCATGGAGAGGGCTCCAGGAAGACCTTAGTGCAGCCTTCCAGTACCTAAACGGGGGCTGCAAGAAAACTGGAGAGGGACTTTTTACAAGAGCGTGTGGTGACGGGACAAGGGGCAATGGCTTTAATCTGATGGAGGGGAGATTGACGTCAGATATTGGGAAGAAGTTCTTTACTATGAGGGTGGTGAGACACTGGCAGAGGTTGCCTAGAGCAACTGTGGCTGCCACATCCCTGTCAGTGTCCAAGGCCAGGTTGAATGGGGCTTTGAGCAAACCCGTCTAGTGGAAGATGTTCCTGCCCCTGGCAGGGGGGTTGAAACTAGAGGATCTTTAAGGTCCCTTCCAACCCTAACCATTCCATGATTCTGTGAAATTCATGAAGTCTGTCAATTATGATTTCCTTTAGGAGGAAGGGGTGAAGCTGGAACAGAATATGCTGAAACCATCATTCTAAATCCTCCTAGAAGACAACGTAAAAGTTCTCTCTCTGGCTTCTCACTCACTAATACAATATGATACACTATTGTGATATCTCCAGGATTGCCCTTGCATCTTTTTAACCTAAAATAAGTAGCATTTTCTTCTTATTATAAGCTATATAACAATGAATTAGCAGGAGCTTTGGTCTTTTAGCGTTAGATATTAACTATTTCAGCAGCTCGTACGGATGTTACTGTTGGAAATCCAAATGCCAACAAACTTAATGCATCAAGAAAATGACACTTGTAAAGCCACTTAATGCTTATAGAGGCTAGAAGTTTGAGGAGCTACAAGCTGAACAGATTATGTAGTTTAACATTTAGCTGTGAACCTACAGGTTGGAGGAACATACTGTTGACCCCTTTTTCTTTCAAGTGGGATTCCTGTTTGGACCAGCAAATGTTTAAAGCATTCCAGTTACTTTTTCTGTATGTAGGAGGAGTGAAAGTATTACTTTGTCTTGTTCCTGTTTGAAGATACTGTAAATGGCAGCTATGTCATAGACATGCAGTGGCATTAGATAAACCAGTTAGTCCTCTCCTATGAATAGTCGCTGTTCAGAGATCCAGTGAGGATAAATCCATGATTGAAAAATACTGATAGCATGGTATTGTAGGTTGTACAAGCACTCAAAGATCCTGTTAAAGTTTACAATTCTTTACCTATTTGAAAGCAACAGTTTGACTGGAATGCTGTGCTGAAGCCTCTCAAACAGCTGAGCCACCATCCCGTATTGAGTAACTCTTTTTTTTTTCTTGCATCCTTACTAGAGATGCATCCCTGATGGCTATGAGAAGGCGCATTGAAGGCTTGACACCAGAAGAAATAAGAAATCTTTCCCGAGATGATATGCACATGCCAACAACTATGGAAGACTTTGAAATAGCTTTGAAGAAGGTTTCTAAATCTGTATCTGCTGCGGACATTGAGAAATATGAGAAATGGATAGTTGAATTTGGATCATGCTGAGTTGTCTTATTTTGAAGAAGTCACTTTACGTCTTAAAACAGCTTTAGAAGTAATAAATAATGTGTTGTTTCACTGCCTGCTCTTTTTAACTTTTGTAATTTAAGAGCAACAGATGTCTAAATAAATTTTTTTTAATGCAAATTCTGTCTGGCTCTCTTTGAACCAGATCCAAAGTTACCCATTGGTCTCAAATGCACAAGATAGTGATGGGATCTGCTTTGATCTTCAAGAGTTTAAAATTCCTTAAATTTAATACTAGACCTCTTGCATCAGAGGGTTTATTCTTGAAAAACAGCCATTACACCAAGAAAAACCAAACTAGCCCTGCTAAATGAGTAAGGGATGCTGAGAACTGGGAAGTGGGATGAGCAAGATGCAGTCATATAGATGGTTTTGCTAGCTGATCTTGGGAGAATTCTACCCTGTCTGTAAGATATTAATAAAGAGCCCATCCAAAGGTTGAGATTTAGAACAGCAACCCATGCACTATTAACAGTGAGTTGATTCAACTGAAGTTTAAGCCAGGGGGTAGGATCATCACTGGTTTACAGTATCTATTTACTAAGAGTACAGCACATCCAGCCAGGGTAAACAAATTCCATGATGCCAGGTCACAGGTGCAGTCTCCTGGTAAGTCTGAAGGAAAACAAAAATTTTCTGGCACTAATTCTAAAATATGCTTTTCTTTCTTGGTTGTGCGGTACTGTAAACTTCAGAACTCCAGACTGGTCACATGGGTCCTGATTTACACTACACAGTCACTTTGGTAAGGTTGTTCTGATATGGCAGCCTGTGTGTTAGGTTTCTGCTTAGTTGGTGTCTGTTCATAGTCCTGATTTCACAATTGATGCACAGTCTAAATTCCTTTCTTACATTACTTGACAAGTGGAATGTAGGAGCTGTTCTCTGGTTCTTCGGTGACCATTTAGGTCATCATTTTAGATTTTGCTCGACAGCGGTCATTGTAATTAACCCACCTATGATTTCTGCCCATCTTTTATTTTGGAAGTACTTCTTCCTGCTAGCTCATCTCGGAGCAGCTGGCTCTAGTTCTGCTTACAGTTGAACTTCAAGGTGTCTCATGAATCAAATGTGTCAAGACTTGTTTCAGCTGGTGAAGAAGCACTGTACGAAACTGGCTGTGGAATTCCTGCTCCTGTGTCTTTTCAGGTGCTGCAAGGCAGATGGAAAGGACAGATGATAATGAAAAGTTGCAGCCTGAGCAGAAGGCAAATGCATCCCAAGTGCACAGTTGTGTAAATGATGTTATTGTCAACATCATGTTTCTGTACTTAAAATTCATCACTGTCTTGCAAATGACAGCTGGACACTCTGAGAAGGGGCTTTGAGCAGTTCTTTTGATGAGACACTCTGGTAAGACACTGCAAGGCAGATGATGTTGGGAGCTCCTGCTAAATCCCTGGGTGGACCAGCTGTGATGAACCCAGAAATGCAGATGTTCAGGTGAGTGTACACATGGGTGCTTTTACAGACTGCCACCTCCAGTATGGAAATTTATGTCTTCCTTTCCAAAGGGATAGTCTTATGTGTCAGACTTAAACAGAGGCAGTATTTTGAAGAAGTGGGTTTTCTTAATACTTTCTTTTCTGTGTTAAGATCAGTGTATAGCTGTCAGCTGTATTGCGGGAAAAGATTTCTTCTCCTAAATCAATTCACTGCAAGGAAACCAAAATACTCAATCTGTCATCAGACGAAGAAGGGAAAGTAGGTAAGCATTAGTCCTTGGAAGCAGTACAGTAAGGGGCCACTTGGACTGAAAGCATGATACATTTTGAGAGCTTCTAAAGTAAGCCTCATTTTAAAAGGAAACTTTAGTACTCAACCAGCCCTGTTCACTCTAAATGAACAAAACGAACAACTGCATAAGATGTGGTGGTGGTGGGGAAAGCTGTAGATACTGAATTTGTAGCTCAGATTCATCTTGTTTTGAAACACAGAACGTGATGATGCCAACACCTTCCAGGGGAGTTCCTGTATGGAGGGAAGGGCCAGTGATGCATTATACCATGTGTTTAAAAGGTAAAGAGACATTCTGAGAATGAGGCAGAACTAGAAGGGCTGTAACGAGAGCTACTATCCATGGGGAGATAAGAGGTGTTGCCTTTCCTAAAAGCCTGCTGCCATCCTAACAGAGTTGGGTTTTTTGAGTAGTTGTTAGGTTTTGGGGGTGGGGAGAGTCACTTGTCATGTGTATTATATCTTCCCCTCCTCCTTTTCCCTAGCTGGTACCTTGGATCCTTGTCAGCTCCTGTGCTGGGAAAGCGAGACCTACTACAACTGGCATGCAGGACAATTGTCCTTTCTTAACTCTTAGTTACAGTAAGGAGCCTTTAAACTGGCTCATTACAAAATAGCTCAGTGGTCCCAGCTCCAAGCTGCACTCCTGAAAGGCATGAGGTTTCCGTGACTCAGGAAAACCACGTGTATGCTAAAGCAGAAGACTAGTGCTGTAAGACTTGATAGCTCCAGCTCCATAGCATAGCAGTGCACTGTTATACCATAGCAGTGTTGTCTGGCAATTACTGCGTTAAAGATTTGCACTGGTCTTTAATTTTGTTAACCCTGACAGTCACATTTCTTTCCTCATGCTCTGTGGAACACCATACAGAAGAGGAGGATGACTTAGCTTATGGAAATCAGCCAAGTTGTGAAGCACTACCAGCACTTTTTCAGGCTTAACCACTCATTTATGTTGCAGCTGTTTAGCATAGAGTGAAATCTCCTTGTTGCTGTGCAGGTGCTTGGTTTACAGTTTCATAAGTAGGGAGGCAAAGAACAGTCTGCAACAGCTGCTGCATTCTGATCTGCAGTTGAGTTCACACTGTGCTTGTGCTGTTAAGAAAGAACTGTTGTATTTTGCGTCCACCCTGGTTCCCTCCTACCCCAAGAAGCTAAACTTCAGCCTTATACATTGCTTCTATTTTGAACTATGTTAATGAAGGGCCCAGGGCTATGTGCATTATGTGGAAAGAACATGAATTTCCACATACAGAGGACTTTGCAACTGTTTGAAGACTTGCTCTTGTCTGCAGTCACCATGCCTCTGCTAGTCTGTTTCCTGTTTAGCCATGGATGACAACAGCCCCTCTCTCATGTATGGTCTTTAACTTAACTGCATTCTTTATTCAGATGCCTCTGTAGCTCTGCCATCATCTCCGTCTTGTGTGCTTACTTTACCATGATGGTAGGTAGCTCTCTGGTGATAAGCCCTGGAAAGCCCTGATTGGGGCTCCGGGGATGCTGGCCATTATTACTCATGCCAGATCAGCAGAGCAGCTGCCCTGCTCCAGAGTTTTATGGCTCCAAAGCACTCAGCCAGTTATGACATCCCCCACTTCTATTGTCATCACTCAGCTAAACCTGGCTGATGCTGGGGATCCTGCACTCCCCAACCTCATTGAGCTTGAGGAAGTAAATGTAAATACTGAACCACATGGTGCTACATCAAAAAACAGATTTTTTTTTTAGGAAAGGAAGTTTGAGCAGTGTCCCTGTTACCTCAGGCTGACATATGCCACGGTGGGGTTTGGTTTGGCTGTTAGCAAGGTCAGTCAGCATTGGAAATGTTTCTGCTATCCCAGCAGTGCTGTCAGTTTAGTGAAACAATTCAAGTTGTTCCTGTCACACACCAGCTGTAAGGACAAATAACTAACTTAGAGAACTCATTACACATTGGATAACCTTTCATTAAAGGGGGAGATGTGTGTGTGTAATCCTAGCTTTTCTCCCTCACTGTAACAGCTTTAGCTAAAAATGGATAATTTCAATCACTCAAATGATAACTCTGCTCAGTCTTACACCAGGTAGTTAACGTTCTTTTTTCTTCCCTAGTCATTCTTTTGACAGTGTCTTGTAAGCAAGAACAATGAAAAGTTAAAAACCAAATAGTGCCCACATGTAATGCATGTGGCAAACCACTGGGTTGCATAGATAAACAGAGCTGCACACATGAACACAGTCTGATAAACAATTTAAGTGTTTATTTGAAAAATGACAGCAGTACAAATGGGCAGGGGCAGACTGGGCCTACGCAGCGGTGGTAAGCCAGTACTGTTGTAGGAGCTTGTAGGGTTTCCTTTTCTCTCTTGAGACTTCACAAAGTACTGCTGTCACAGGTACAAAAAAAGACATTCTTCACAAGTGCCAACAGTTTCTGTAAGTGGAAGGAGCCACAAAAGTGTAAAGTGCTTAAACCTACCTTTAAAATTTGGTTTGCATATTTAAAACGTAAAATTACTTAAGTAACACAAGGGGTTGGTAGTGATATTTTCCTCGCAAGGCACACTCAAACCTAAGAGACTTGACACCAGGTTGGGCAGCTTTGTTTAGGCTTGCAGGCACAGCTGATGTTTGCGATACTCCTTCGTCCTTTTCTGAGGAATGCTGTCAGGAGACTTCCGGACACCCTGAATTACACCACCTCGATACTCAGGATAGCTGCCCTGGTTTATCAATGGGCATGAAGGCAGCCAGCGTCCTGTCCGAGGTGAAGAAAAGTGACTTCACAGAAGTTAAAACCAATGGTAGCCCTCAGGGTGCAAAGCTGCTTTATTTTGAAGCTTCTGAAAAAGCTGTGTTTTAGCAGAGAGGCACAAGGAAGTCAGCTATGGGCCTCAGCCTGAGTGTCCCTTTGCCAATTTATCGACTGAGTTCTCTTAGTAGGAAACAAACATGGTATTAAGATCAAGTGCCAAATTTCAGGTCAACTAAAAATATGATTTAAAAAAACAGTAACTCCAAAGCAAACACAGCATTAAGTACATGATTTCTCGTCTAAATTATTTTTCCTGTCTGGAAGATCTGAAGGCAAGCTGATGGTAATCACAGGTACAAAGCTGACTTGATCCAGGAGAAGGGTGCCTCTGAAAGGTAAGATTACCTGGCATTAGAAAACAACCTAAAAAACAATTCTGCATTCTGAAAATAAGGTTTATTCTTGAGCTCATCAACATACTTTAAATCAATACATCACTTATTACCCTCATGATACCTCTTTTATAAAGTAGAATGAAAACTTGATACAAAACCGGCTCCAAAATGAACTACCTGTGGTTTCAGTGGGGTCCCTTCACCCAGTTTCCACATCTGAAATACCAGCAGTGTGGGCTCCATAGGCTCAGTTT